CCCCCCCTCTCTCTCTCACAGACACACACACACACACAATCAACTATTTTCTATTTTTACTTTTTCTGCTTTTCTTCTTCTAATTTTGAAGTATTTACTTTCTGCTCTCCATTTTGTGTGGCCCTCTGGTATTTTCCTGTGCTCCTGTGTCTAAGTGAGCACCTTTTAAGTGCCCGTGAATAGTCAGTCTGGAGTGTCTGCAACATTATTAGTGGGGCTGCTGTGTTCAGGATCCCTGTGTGTCTGTGTTCCCTGGGTGCTGACAAACTTTTGTCACAGCGACTCCCTGGCTCCAATTGTGGCGTGAAACTATAGTCTGTCGAGTTCTACCTGAGGTGTGAGTAGCTGATGATCCGCTTTGGTCTGTGATGGATGTCTGAACTGCCTGGTCCGTGCTACTCTGCTGCCTGTCCGCCCATTCGCTTGCCTTGTTGCCTTGTTTGCTTTGTAGTTTGGCTGCCTTGCTGCCTTGTCGCCTTGCTGCCTTGTCGCTGTGCTTCCTTGTTGCCTGCTGCTCATCGTGCAGCCCTGATGTTTTGGCCTTGCCATTTGGCTGCCTTGTGACTCGCTGCCTTCTTGCCTAGCATCTGTGCTGCCTCAATGACTTGTTGCTTCACTGCTGTGGTGCCTCACTTCCCCACAGCCCTGACGTTTGCCTTGCCATTTGCCTGCCTTGTGCCTCGCTGCCTGCTCGCCTTGCCTCTGTGCTGCCTCAATGCCTTCAAGTTGTTGCGTCCCTGCTGTGGTGCCTCAGTTCCCGACTGCCTTGTTGCCTCGCTGTCCCGTGCCTTGCTGCCTCTTTGCCTCACTGTGTTGTTGCCTTGCTGCCATGTTGCCTCCTCCTTGCCTTGTCATTCAGCTGCCCTGTTCATGCTGAATTGTTGCCTTAGCTGCCTCGTTGCCTCACCAGCTTGTGCTTGGCTTCCTTGTGGCCTGCTTCTCCTCGGGTCACACTGCTGCTTCATTCTCTGCCTTCTTGCCTCACTGCCTTGCTGCTTTGTTGCCTGCTCCTAATACTGCCGTCCTGCTGCTTGCCTTGCTGTTTTGCTGGCCAACTGCTCCTGCCTATTCGCCTAAGGCTTGCTGTTTGCTTGTCATTCAGTGCCCTTTTACCTTAAGCCACCAGTACTTGGCCCATACATCGGCCACAGGGCGTTGTCGTTAACGCCCCGCAACTTCCGGAGGTTCGGGGTACCGGACCTCAAAGGCTGGCGCTGCCAGCTAAAACAATTTTCTTTTGTTGCGCTGGCCGGTCGGCGCGAAACGGCACGCAGCCCGTTTTCAGGCTCGGCATCGATAGCTGGGCCAAGTACTGGTGGTTTAAGTTACCCTTCTCTAACTTTAAAGTTAAACTTCTGTTGTTGCTTGTGATGTCACCTGCTGGACACCCACTCACAAAGCGGTGAAAGGAAATCATTCCCCAAAACATCAACATGCGGTTCCACAGACTGTCGAGGGTTCAGCGTGGTGAGTAGTCAGAGCAAGACTGATGAAAGAGTCGGTCATCACTTGTTTGGATTGAAAGGATTCACACGTTGCCACAATAAGGCCTGTGTACCGTGTCCTATTTTCTTGTGTACCTTAGAGTCAAAGGAGAACTTTACATGACAAAATAGAGAGCTGATAGGATAAGATCGGTAGGAAGAGTAGAGGGAGGGACCTAGAAGTCAGTAGGTAGGGACTCGCCAAGTGTCCAATCCCGGTCCCATTGCAGCTCAGTCCCAGGGAAAGGCGACAACAGACAGAATCTTTGTTTGTCACGGTAGGGCCTGGCGGGAAGAGTCCAGAGTCATGTGGGAGGAAGAGGCAAAGGCACAAAAGGGAGGCCAAAGTCAGGAACCTCCTCTGGAAGTTCTTAGATTCAAGCATAATATCTGAAAGCGCTGCTGTGTTGCTGGACCAGAGAAGTACCAGCGGCGCTGGGCGCAATAGCTGTGAGGTTGGATAGGATAGAGAGAGAGAGAGAGGAAGAGCAACAAGGACATTTAGAGAGTGATCGCAGGACCTGTGCGCAATAGTAGTAGTAGGTAGGTGAGAGAAGGTTAACAACAGTCGTATTTTTCATCACCACTTCAGGACACACTTCACCACGTCAGGATGCAGTCTGAAAATCTTGAATGGTCCTGAAGTGGTGAAAGGTCCGAAGACCCTGAAAACCACTTCAAGATGCAGCCTGCCTAAACATGTGGTTTTCAGGGTCTTCGGACCTTTCATCACTTCAGGACCATTCAGGATTTTCAGACTGCCTTAAACTCTCACTTCACCACTTCAGGATACTCTTCACCACTTCAGGATGCAGCTTGCCTAAACAGGTGGTTTTCAGGGTTTTCGGACCTTTCACCACTTCAGGACCATTCAGGTTTTTCAGACTGCCAAAAACACTCACTTCAGAATTTTCATTCCTGAATTTTCAGCTACACGTTAACCGCTTGTGTCTATGCGTGTTATCCTTATGCAGGGGTCATGCTAATCTTCTTTGTATCGTTCCAATTTGAATGGATGTCCCAAAGGACGTCATACCCACGGTCTTGAGAAACCTCTGTATATCATTTCAAGTTGTAATTAAGTTCGGTTTGTGCATCGCTCAGTACATCCGTTCAAACTTCAAATTGGAATGATACAAAGAAGATTAGTATGGCCCCTGCGGGAGGATCACACGCATAAATTGAGAAGTGGTCCGTAAAACAAAAATAAATAAAATATGTTTGTTCTCATATTGTATGGATCTTGCTGTTGCGACCAAGATTTGGATCACAGTTGGCCGAATCATTGCAGTAGTATCGGAGCTGAATCTTGTTGTTTTCGCAGACGTAGCAGCGCAGGCTGCACAGCGGGAGGTTGAAGGTAAAGTGCCAAGAAGAAGGAAGGTGCACAAAGTAGGATACAAGCAAGCGGCAAGAAGGGAAGCAGCGCGTGGAGTGGAGCAAAAACGCGTGGGAAGACATGTTTGTGTTGAGAGGAAAGACACACCTTGTGAGAGAAACTGTGCACAAGCTGAGGTAAGTTGCGCATGGAAAGACAATGTGCAAAGCAGCAAAAGGAGGGCATGTAGCAGCAAGCAAGCAACGCCAACATGTGCAGAGACGGTGTGCACATATGATAGGAGTGCGAGTGTGTGAGTACGTGTGCGCACATACAGAAGGAGAAAGATGAGAAAAAAAAAGTTTGTTTGTGTCATCAGCCTGATTTGAAACCCTCCCTGCTCATTTGTTGTATGAGTGGCTATGCATTCTCTAGATATGCAATAACTTAAGAAACAAGTTGATAGATCAAGTCTGTGTGGCCTATGTGATACCTGAGAAAATGGATAAGGCAACGGAAGGAGAGTCTAAACAGCAGGGAGAATCTATGTCACCCGAAGTCCAGGAGAGTTTGTCGATGTGCAGGAGGAACCTGAGGGAATAGTAGAGATGCCAATCAAGCATCACATAAGTTACAGGAGTTTAAAAGACAAATCCAAGAGCAGGTAGATAAAGGGTGGATTAAGCCAAGTTCGTCTACCCATGGTATACCTGTTTTATTTGTTTCAATAGAAGAAGGAAACTAAGACTTTGTACAAATATATAGGGGTCTAAATGCAAACATAATAAAGAACGCAATTGCTTCTTATAGATGACTTGTTAGAAAGGTTACAGGGTTGTAACTACTTCTCTAAAATAGACGAAGTCGAGGTATTATCAGATTGAGGTGTTCCCTAAGGACAAGCTCAAGACAACCCTTGGAGCCAAGTATGGCCACTATGAGTTGAATGTAATGTCGAACTAGATATGGCCACTATGAGTTCAATGGAATGTCTTTCGGTCTAACTACTGCACTTGCTACGTTTCAGTAGTGTATGAATAACTTGTTTAGAGACTGGCTTGACAAATTTATAGGCATATATATCTAGATGGCATCTTAGTTTTTAGCAAGATTTTAGAAAACCAAGTGGACCCGCCTCAGCTACGCTGCTGCTGTGGAGGGGGAGCGAAGGCAGAGGCAGGAGTGAGAAATGTTGGGTGCAAACGGAAAAAAAAAAAAAAAAAAAAAACGAAGAATTTACGTGTCTCTCTCTTTTTCTCTTCCGGTCTCCCTCTCTCTCTCTTTCTTTGTGCATGTGAGAGAGAGAGACAGAAAGATAGATAGAGAGAGACTCTCTCACATTCATTTAGCAGATATAATATGCATGGTGAGAGGGCACGAGGGAGAGAGAGGGAGACAGAGAGAGGGAGACAGAGAGAGGGCACGTGACATACACACACATATTTTCAACCTGCTGATGAGTCGCTGAAAGTCCAGCGAAACAGTCCGGTACAATCATGCTTTTTCAGAGTATATAGCGAATATGACAACACACAAAAAAAAAAAGGAGAAAAGTGCGCGGGTGTATATTTCCATCACAAAAAAAAAAAAAAAAAAACAATAAGTGTGGCGGTGTATATTTCCATGTTCTAGTGGGAGATTCATTCCATTTGGAAGTGCCATGAGGCCAGCTGCAAGATTGGGCAGCCGGGAGATTGGAGACCTACCTGGGCTTAAATAAAAAAATGACAAAAAAAAAAAAAAAAAAAAAAGGGAAAAAAAAAAAAAAAAAAAAAAAAAAAAGAATCTCACTGTGTCTTCATGTGTGGACATCTTTTGGCTTCGTAGGAGGATTCCATGACCCCCT